ATTAGCCATGGGAACGAGTTGGGACCAATCCCAACGTTGGATCTTTGATCCCAGTTGGGCACTGGGAGCACCGGGAACGCCGGGAACCACGGAACGCCGGGAATTCCCCATCTCCCCGCTTAATTAACGACCAAACCCAACCCTAATTAATTTGAGATCGTTAATTAGCCACCAAATTTGAATGGGAACGAGTTGGGACCAATCCCAACATTGGATCTTTGATCCCAGTTGGGCACTGGGAGCACCGGGAATGCCGGGAACCACGGAATGCTGGGAACCCCCCATCCCCCCACTCCACCAACACCTCCCCCAACCCCCACCCTAATTAACCCCTCCATTAATTACCCACCGAACCCGCCGGAAAACCCGGGAACGCCCGGCCCGGCAACGCCAACGCCCAGGGCAGCTCCAACGCCGCCGGCACGGCCGAGGAGCCCGGGAACGCCGGGAAAGCCAAACCCCCGGGAACCGCCGGAGCCGGAACCGCCCGCGAGGACGACGACGCCGGCGCCGCCGAAGAAGCCGCGGCGGCTTTGGCGCGTCCGGCCTTGTCGCCGGCGTGGGTGCGCTGGTGCCGGTTGAGGTGGGAGCTGCGGCTGAAGCATTTCCCGCACTCCGGACACTTGTAGGGCTTCTCTCCGGTGTGGACGCGGCGGTGGATGGTGAGCTCGGAGCGTTGGATGAAGCTCTTCCCGCACTCCGAGCACTGGAAGGGTTTTTCCCCCAGATGGGTTCGCTGGTGGGTCAAGAGGTTGGAGGAGACGCTGAAACATTTCCCGCACTCCTGGCACTTGTAGGGTTTCTCCCCCGTGTGCATCCGGCGGTGGATGGTGAGGTCGGATTTTTGGATGAACCCTTTGGAACAATCCGGGCACTTGTAGGGTTTCTCCCCGGTGTGAATCCGCCGGTGTTTCACCAACGCCGAGCGCTGCCCGAAGCTTTTCCCGCACTCCTGGCACTCGTACGGCTTCTCCGGCGCCGCTTCCGCTTCCCTCCCGCAATCCTGGCACAAACCCCGGCTTTTCCCGCAATCCAGGCATTTCTCTGCCGCTGCCGCCGCCGCGCCGCCGCCGCCGTGAGCGCGTTGATGCTTCAACAACGCCGCGCCTTGATCGAAACACCGCCCGCACTGCCCGCACTGGAAGAGCTTCCCGTTGCGGTGAGCCGCCAAAAACCCGGCCAGGTGCTCCGGACACCGGTAGGACTCGCGTTCGGCCGCGTGGATTTTCCGGTGCCGGTCCAGGTGGGAGCTGACGCTGAAACTTTTCCCGCACTCGCCGCAGGAATACGGCCGCTCGCCGGTGTGGACGCGCCGGTGCCGCTCCAGGTCGGAGCGCTGGATGAATCCTTTGCCGCAGTGGCCGCAGGCGAAGGGGCGCTCGCCGGTGTGGATGCGCCGGTGCTGCGTCAGGTTGGAGCCGCGGCTGAAGCTCTTGCCGCAGTCGCCGCAGCGGTGCGGCCGCTCGCCCGCGTGCGTTTTCCGGTGTTTCGCCAACGCCGAGCGCTGCCCGAAGCTCTTCCCGCAATCCAGGCACATGTGAGGCGCCGGCTCCGCCGGAGCCGCCTTCCCGCGGGCTCGCTGCGGCGGTCCCGGCCCGCCGGCGTGGGTTCGGCGGTGCCGGTCCAGGTGGGAGCTGACGCTGAAGCGTTTGCCGCAGTCGGCGCAGGGGTACGGCCGCTCGCCGGTGTGGACGCGCCGGTGCCGCTCCAGGTCGGAGCGCTGGATGAATCCCTTGCCGCAGTCGCCGCAGCGGTGCGGCCGCTCGCCGGTGTGGATGCGCCGGTGCTGCGCCAGGTTGGAGCCGCGGCTGAAGCCTTTGCCGCAGTCGCCGCAGAGGTGCGGCTTCTCGGCGGAGAGGCACCGGGGTTTGGCCGGGCTTTTGCCGCACTCCGAGCACGGCCCCGGGGTTTTCCGGCTCTTCCCGACGGAAAGGTCGGGATCGGGTGGGGCTTGGGGAGGGTCTTGGGTTGCCGGAGGGGCCGGATCGTCCTCGGGGCCGCTGCCGGCGCCGGCACCTGGAGTGGGGATGGGAGGAGATGAATCCCAGCCTGGATTTTCCCATGGAATTCCAGGGATTTGGGTTCCGTGGCCACGGATCCGTCGATCCCAAAAAATCCAATCCCAGCCCAGATTTCCCCATGGAATTCCACGGATTTGGGTCGGTGTTGACCTTGGCCATGGATCCACTGATCCCGAAATTCCCAATCCCATCCCATTCCATCTCATCCCAGATTTCTCCATGGAATTCCATGGATTTGGGTTCCGTGGCCATGGATCCGTCGATCCCAAAAAATCCAATCCCATCCCAGATTTCCCCATGGAATTCCATGGATTTGGGTCGGTGTTGACCAATCCCAACCCAGACTTTCTCACGGAATTCCATGGATTTGGGTTCCTTGGCCATGGATCTGTCGATCCCAAAATTCCCAATCCCAGCTCAAATTTCTCCATGGAATTCCATGGATTTGGGTCGGTGTTGACCAATCCCATCCCAATTTTTCCCATGGAATTCCGTGGATTTGGGTTCCGTGGCCATGGATCCGTCGATCCCAAAAAATCCAGTCCCATCCCAGATTTTTCCCATGGAATTCCATGGATTTGGGTTTACATTGACCTGGTCGACTCCCAAACCTCCTTCCCCACCCGAAATCCCGGAAAATTCCCAAAAATCCCCACAAAATCCTTCAAAAAAAAAAAAAATCCCCTTTGGTGCCTCCGGTGCCGTTTTTTTTGGGGGGAATTTTTTGGGGAAAACGCCAAAACTCACCCCGGTCTTTGGCCGTTCTCCTCCGGTTCCGGCGTTTTCCGGCCTGGCCTTGTTCCCGCACCAATTCCCGGAGCATTTTTTCCACCTGGCTCCTCCCGGCCGTTTGGAGGATCAGCCCCAGCTGCCGGCGCAGATCCGGCTCCGCCCCTCCCCCACCGCCGGAACCCCCGGGGGGAGGGGGCGGCGCCGGGGGGGGCTCGGGGTGGTTTTGGTCCCCCTCGGCTTCTGTAGCT